TATCCAAAAAAATGTCAATTTTGGCGTCAAATGGAGGGAAACGCGCGTAATCATCTGTTGCCACGTGTGTGGAGCTCTGTTAAGCCTCTAAAACTTTCCCTTGGATATTATGATTGTGAGAATACTTGAGATAGCCTGTACACCGTCTCCTGAGCTGAAAATAACCTGCTGAATAAAGTAAAATTGACCGCTCGATCGCTGGGCAAAATAAATGTCGGAGCCTCTGACGCTCGCTGTTTAGACTCTTGCAATGAAAGGGAACCTGGGCCATGAAAGCACCTTGATCCCATGCCTCAAGAACCAATGCTATGATATGCAAAAATGCAAAAAAATGCAGAGAAACATAACTCAGTTATGGTTAAAACGAAAGGGAAAATTTTGGGGTGCTACAGATACCTTGGGATTATCAGTTGGTAATCTCTTCCCCAGTGGAGTTAAGTCTCATCCCTGGTGGAGTTGGATCTTTTCCCCGTGGAGTCTTGCTATGCCAAGTTGTTCCTCATCGGGTCTTCCATTCTTTAACTGTGCTTCAGCGTTGTCTGTATATAGTTATCTCCTGTGGCATCTTTTCTGTCACAGATCCATGTATTGCATTCTTATCATTTTATGTCATATCATGTGCATCTTGTGGCATCTTAGGGCCAAAAAGTGTGCATGTTTGTATTTAAGTCTCTCCTATCACGTTGACGGAGATTTTAATCTTCATATCTCCGGATAGAAGAAACTTAAATAGGGGCATCTGTCATATCCTAATTTTTTACCCTAAGATTCTGTTTTTCGTTTGAATCATCTACATAGCATAACATGCACTTCATCTTGCATAGTGTCTAAAATGCTAGTAGAATAAATTTGTTGGATTTACCCACGTGTTTTTTCTGATGCTTTTGCAGGTACCTCCTTCGGATATCAATTTCGTGAGGAATACGACTACACCGCGATTAGGATTGCACTTAATGATATCCTTAGAAAGCTACGACACTAGAATGATGTAGACGCCGAGCGCGACCAACTGCTTAGAGATATACATAGGCAGCAGGCTGACATGATGGCAACTACCCATCAGGTACAGGAGCAGCATCACAATTATGTTGGACGCACATAGCATAATATGGCGGACCTGGTTGAGGAGATGTTAGGATTGCGTCTGGGGATGACGGATTTGCTAGAGTACATGTAGCACGTGGGTGTGCCACAACCTCGGTATGGTAGAAGAGAATATGGACGAGGGCAAGGCCGACGCCGCTACTGAGCTCTCCATACAGGTTCCTTTACTCATTTTCCACCTTGTATCAAAACATTGAGGATAATGTTTGGTTCAAGTATGGGGGAGGAGTTTTATCGTTTTATCTTTACTTACTTTCTAGTTAGATTTACTGTTTCTTAGTTTAGTTTATGTTTTTAGAATTTCATTTATTTTCAGTATTGTGTCGAGTCATTTGCATTTGTTGTTGAGTCTTTATGCGTGGTTTTTAGATGTTTATTAAATTTCCCCTTTTCCTTGAGCCATAACAAAAATTTTGACTCTGAAATTCAGTGCACCTTTTGAAAGTTTTAGGCTATAGATAAAGTTTAGGATAGATTGTGGAGACTTGGGAAAATTCACAAAATCGATATCGTTTTAACACCTTAAGTCTCCCGATTATGGAGATCAATTTGAGTATTTGTTATGTCATAGCCTTAAGTTCTCACCCTTTAGTAGTCCTTAAGTAGTTTATTTAGTATTCAACACCACCCTAAGCACACACTAAGTAAGAAGTTGATGCAAATAAGTGTACGATCTTAGGCTTAAGAGAAAAAAATGAATAAAAAGAAGTGTTCCTTCTAAGTTAAGTGATTCTCACCCGATCACTTAGTCTAAAGGTGCAAATTCTTTTATCTGTTGATACTTATGCGAATGTGCAAGAAAAATAAAAAATGAGATCATAGTCACTAACAGGATATCCTACCATTAGTGTGTAAGGATAACAAGCTTAATGTGATTGCGCCGGAATGAAAAGTGACAAAAGAGGGATGAGTGAGTTAGGCTTAGGTATAATGACAAGATTTTGATTGGTCTGTATAGGAAAGAGGCTTAGGAATGCACAACCGCAGAATTGTGTTCCTACGATATCCTTAGTGTGCAAGCGAGTATCTATCAAAACAATCCTAGCCAAAGTAGAGTTTGTAGCCTAGAATGAGTATCCGTATGCATTGCTTTTCATGAGTCTTGATATTAACTGCTGCAAAGTTTTACAAATATTTTTCATACGTGTAGCGGTTTGCTTGTGGACAAGCAAAGGTTCAAGTGTATGGGAGTTTGATAACGTGAAAATGTACTGTGTATTCTGACCCGATTCACATGTTATTTAGTGTCTTTTCATCATGTTTCCGTACTATTATGACGTGTTATGTTTGCATTTTAGGTACTTATCTAATATAGAGTGTCATTGCAAGCAAACAACGAAAAGAGCAAGAAAAATGAGTTTTTGGCAAAATTTTCACTTTACTGGTGCATGGCGTTCGCCACCACCTCACGGAATTCGCCATGTACCCCAGTCACGTCACATTCAACTTAAGTCTGTGGCGTTCGCCATTAACGCGTATAATCAACAAATATGGAAAACAGAAATTGGCCCATTCTTCCCCACTTCCCGACATTTTCTCCATGACTTCTACACGAATTGAAGGCAGTTAGCAGCAGTATACCTATATATAAGATCATTTTTCATAGATTTTGAGTGTCCAAGTTTATGCGCGGAAGCTTTGTCGATTTAGTTTTAAGCAAATATTTACCATTCAAAGTGATAATCTCTTGCACTGATAGGTTATCACACCATTAGTTTTAAGTTTCTGTTATTGTACGCTTGGATCATAATCTTGCCGACATTATTGAAGTTTAATTTGTTTCCGCCCGTTGTACTTGAAGTATTCCGCAGTTTAATTCCAGTTTTATAGGTTTCTTATATTATTGCTTTATATATTCCCGTTTATCGCATTTTAATTCGTTTATCATGATATCCTTAAATTCAATTACCATGATTTCTATGTTTAAGTTTCAAAGCATGTCCGGTTAAATCTCTTTGAGTCTGGTATGTGAGGACCATCATTTCGACGGGACTTGGTAATAAAATATGCGTTAACTTTTCATAAATTTCTCTTATGGATTTAGTTTTCAATTCTAATTCAAATGGTTTTGCACGAGAGTGAAAACAAAAAAGGTTCGAGCCAATAGCATGAGAGTCTGAGGATTGAACTGGATAGTGAAAATTGGGCATTGATCCTAAATACAGTGAGAGCGCTTTAGGCATCAATTAGGACTTATTTAGTTTTCAAAAAAATACTTTTTGATTAAAATGGACGAACGAGAGCAAAATCTCATGGTCTGAGAGTGTAACTTTAATCAATAGCGCGAGAGTGTCAGATAGAGTTTTTAAACTGGTATTTTCTACTGAAAGCAATTTAACAGTAAACTAACACCATGAATTACAGAGTCCCCAAGGTACACGGAATTCACATTTCGGTGTCTCTTTTCTGATATATTTCTTAATCTTATTTTAGTTTTAACTTTTATTTCCGTCCAAACCAAATATTCATTAGCCTTGGCTTTACATAGTATCAATATATAACAATAGATTGATTATTAGTCTCTGTGAGTTCGATATCTTTTAAAACTACGAGATAGACTATATCTTTGCAGTTAGATAATCTGATAGACTCATAAAGTCGTGATCATTTTGCATATCACTTTTTGGAGTTTCTATTTGATTTTTCCACATTCAAACGTTAAGTTTCTGAGTATGAATACATTTTTTCAAATAGCTTGCAAAAAATGTCCTTAGGATTTTTTCAAGTTTAATCCTTTAAATGAACGAAAACTTGTGATTTAATTTACTAAAATTACCTGTAAATAGCGCGATACTATTGGCTGACCATGGTTCTGGGCGCTTGGGATTATGTGAAAATATGATGCCAAAGGCATGGTGACATCTTCAACTCCCACGACCACCAAACTTCACATATTAACGTCGCCCTGGTTGTTCATGCAATGAGGAATATGTATCCTCTGCCCTTCTGCTCCAACATTGGGGTAGCTCAGTTATATTATTGTTGCTATCGACTATTTTATTAAATTGAATCGATAAACTACCACATATTTTATGAGATTATTGCACTACACCATATTTCACCACAGGAGAGACTCCTTTTCATTTAACGTAAGAAGGGCAGACATCAAAAATAAATTTTTCCTTTTGGTCGAAGCACGTGAGTTGAAACAAGTTTTATGTACAAAATCAACCCTATAGCCAGAGTAAACCATGAATTATTCAAATGAAAATTGGAAATGATATTCTTTATTTACTCTAGATTGTGCATAATATATTTTAGAATCAAAATGTTTCCATAGGTGAATTTTAGTTTCAGTTCTTCAGCTCCAACAACATTAATGATGCGAGAATCTCCTAACCATGCGTTCTTTTCTTGTTTAACTATATATATTTTGAACATATCAAAATCATAAACTTCAATCCACCACCCATATGATCCACCTATCAGATTGATTTCATTAATAATATAATTAAATTTCTCTTTAATTAGATTATCTTGTAACATCACTTGGCCTGTGTTAGGAAATTAAATAGGCCTAATAGAATTAAAAAGACTTCAGTTTTACTCAAAGATTTTATTACTCATTAGAGGTATGAAAAAGAAAGGTTGTTTATTTGCTTTATTTTCTAATGCAATTTTGATCTTGGTAGTCTAGTGTTTCTATCAGCATGTTCCTACACTTTTGTATCAAATTGTATAGAGAAGATTTTTTGGTCTTATGCCTCATAACTCATAAGATTTTTGAAATTATGTCCCATACCACATAATTTCTTCACACTTTTCCCAACCATATATTTCTCAACAGAAATAATGTCCTTAATTTAATAACACTTTTCCCTTACAGCAATATTTGTTTGATGATACTTAACAGCAATTTTAAAGCACAATATAAATATAAAACATTAATCTTCTAATTATTCCTCCTTTTCATCGTCGTTAATCTCGTCAAGAATCACAATTAACGCTACTATGAAAGCGTAATCAACATTAGGATAAACTGTAACCATGAATTGATCTTTACCAATTAAAACACTCTGAACAGTGTGCTTTTTGTGCATCTGCAGTTACAATAATATTACAAAATTAATTTATGATTATAAATATCACATAATTAATTACAACTAATTGTGCTTATATAGTTATGTATAATTAATTACCTGGGCAACAATGTTGTTAGATTCACCAGCATAAACAATGCAAGAACGTTCAAGCCAACTACCTTTAACTTTAAAATCACAAATATCTTCTTTTGTGTTACCAGCTAAAAACACATCTAGTTTGGTCTTAAACTGAATCAGAGATGATCGCTTCAATGTAAATATAAGATCTTTAGAATCTGTGCTTTCACCCCTATAAGCTTCCCACCTATCGTGCATGGTCACTATCTACATAGTTAAATCAGATCAGTTGATAGCTGTGAAAAGACATCAAAATATAAGAGTGTGAATTCGAACCGAAAATAAATATAACGGAACCTTGCGACGTAGGGTGGTGATGGGGTTGCCGGCGGCATCAAGCAAGACACGGCGGTCACGGAGGGTTAAGAGAGAGCCTTTGACTTTGAAGACGATGTTGCCGTTGACATCAGTAACGGCGAAGTTTCCGTCTGAAATTGTCATAACCTTTTTCACGACGGCGAGATCTAGGGGATACGGAGCACAGTATTGAGGGCCGAATATGGCGGCGGGGAGTGGCGGCATCGGAGCCGAGGGAGAAGGTTGTGGTTGATAAAAGTAAGCCATAATGATTCTGATGAGATCAGAGCGTGTGAAGATTGGAATATAATAATTTGATTTTATGAGTTTTCACAAAATGAAAAGGAATTTATAGATTGGAAGTTGGAACAAGAAGAGTACCAGGAAGGTGCTTTGATGGTAGAGATAAACCGTGTTTATTATTCGTAAACGATAAGATACGGTCTTTTCTATCTATTTATTTTTTATTTTTCTTTTGTCAAGATATAGGAGGACAGTTTTTTCTATTTGGTTTAAATAGTTTTGTCTTTTCTATTTACTTTTATTTTGGTTTTTTTTGGTTAAGATATATCGTCTAAGTCTTGTCTGTTTTTATTTTTGTGATAAAAAGAATAAACTTAGATATATTTCTTTAAGGAGTTTTCTTTTTCAATTCAAATATTCATAATTATTTACAATTTTCTTTTTTTTTTTTAAGGTTTTTTTAGGAGCGGGGAGAAATGCAGAAGTTGTTAAATATATAATTTTGTGTTGATGTTAAAATTAGATTGTGTCGAACAAAGTCTATTTGTTATATTTGCAGAAAATAAAATATAGCATGTTGATGTATACAGTTTAAGCATGTAATTGTCGAACGAGTCGATATTGAAGATTGACTTAATTTAGTTTTAGTTGAACTAGTTATTTTATGATTACTTTGAGTGTAAGTAATCTCTCATCTATAAACAAAGAAGATTTATATTTCATTTGTATAAGTGTAAGAAAATATTGTATAGTTTTTAAAATCACAATTGTGATTAGCACACATTATCAAACACTTAAAGTGCAGTTTGCACAACAACATTACATTCTTCTTTTTTTTCTGTCTTAATTGAACTTTTCTCTCTTTTTCAATTGTATTATTTTCTTCTTTTAATTCTCCGTGTAGTGTAGAATCATCTTACAACCAAGGAGTGGTTGTTTCACCTGAGTAAATGGTAAAGAAGAAGAGGCATGATCAATAAAAAAGGTTGATTCTTGTTTAGTATGATTGATTCGGTTAACTTCAAAATTGGAGTCACTACTACAAGTAACACACCTAACGTCAGTCGCAAAATGCATTTAACCTCGGCTACACAGCCGAGGTAACGAAGTGCGACATGAGAAGCAATCGCTTGTCACCTTAGTGTTTCTAAAACCAGGGTTATAAATTAAAAGGTCATTGGTTCGATTCTCATCAACTACATATTGTTTATTTTCTAATTTTTGTTACACGCGCCATATATCTCTTAGTTGTATTTAAAGACCGAGGTAATAAGGTATTCATTTACCTCATTTTTAAGTAATAACCGAGAGATAAAATCTCATTTTTTCATGTATCATTTTCACTTACTGTATCATTTTCACTAGCCTGTGTAATTTTGCATGTATCATTTTCACTGGCTTGCACATATCATTATCAATATATTAACCAATGAATACTAGATTTACATTGTTTTAAATCTTAGTTTTGTAACACCCCCTTCTCTACCCCCAAATAAACAATAAATATATATATAGGCACATATAAAATTTATCAGAGTATGCTTTAAAGTACGGTATAAAAGAAGTATGTCACATTATCACCAATAAAACATTCAACGCTTGCTCTATACAAATATGCAACCGTGGGATAGTTTTCAAAATAGAGGAACTTGGTCCTTACACCCACGTCTCGATATTTAAAATTAAAGCGGAAGATTAAAACATTTAGATTGCTTCAAAACATTTAATCACATAAATACATGTTATCCAGTTGGTTCATCAATCATTCATGTTATAAAACATTATCAACTGATACATCACAAATGTATCACAAAAGAATGTTATACAAGCCTAACTACCCGGTGTTACATAATCAGAGCAGTCCGAGTCAAAAGAATGAAGCTATACTTCACAAAAGAAACCTCCAGCAACCTAATCTGCAATGCCTCATAGAGCATCATAAAACAGCAGAAGGGTGAGAAATATTACCATAATAATCAATGCATAAGATTATATATATAAACAAGTAACAATTACATATAATCCACATTTCTCACCACACTTCATTTCATAGTCATATTCATCACGGCATAAATATAAACAAATATGAACAAGCATCAAGCATATCCCTTCATGCATATTTCACAATTATCCAAACACATCACATTTACAAGCACACTTCATATATCAATGACATTTATACTATGTGACCCCAAAACAATTCAATGCAACTCAATGCCACTCAATGCTATGTGGTACCAACACTCGTTATCATTTTTCGGTTTTTACATTAAACCGGCTCCACTCTTCTAGACCGATAACGACAAAAGCTCGTCCTCTAAGCTTTCAAACCCACTCTTCTAGGCTTGGGACAAGTCACTAGTCTCCACGAGACTAGCAAGCATTGCCTCTTGACTGAATGATGCATATGCAATCGAAGATCAAATGCACTTAAGACCGACATCTTAATCTCATGCATTCAAATAATTCATCTCTTCAAGAACTACGTCATGATTGCACACACAACATATTTCACAAGCTATGCACACATATCCACAATGTTCTCATGCACATTTATCATACAATTCACGCACAACATTATGTGTTCACAATTTATCAGACAATGCACACATAACCTCTATTATGTTCTCATGTATTTCCAATCAATACAAATAATATACACATCTCAAAAACCTAGGATTCACGCCCGAAGGCTACCCACAGCATATCACAATAGTACATAAACTATGCGATTAAACAAGCAATAAACCATAGTCGAACCATACAATCAACCTATGGATGAATCTCAAACAAAACAAAAACCTGTCATACTCGCTACTCCTTCGCTAAGCGAACTCCTAGCAAGTATTTGCTACTTGTTCGCCTAGCGAACGTGCTAGCGAACCTCAACAGAAGCTACTGACTTCATTCGCTACCTGCTCGCTACAGCGAGCTTCCCAGCGAACCATTCGCTATCTCTTTGCTACACATTTGCTACCAGCGAACACACCAAAAATCCATTATGTCCAAGTCTGGGACCATTCGCTACTTGTTCGCTGAGCGAGCTCCTAGCGAGCGTTCGCGACCTGCTCGCTTAGCGAGCTGCTAGCGAGTGTCTGTGTATTTTGTTTTTCACTTACTGTTATCCAACTCAACCAACTCCACAAACTCCAATCTCACCAATCCAATTCCAATACTCTTAGTCTAACATTTCTAGACTATTCTACATCATCTATTTCAGATTCTAACCGATTAAATGGAGTTCTACCGATTAAATCCAACTTTGCCCTAAAGTGGAAAAATGGTGGAAAACATCCAAAAACCCAACCCAAGCATACATAATGACACACATTGATCAAATAATAATGTTTCTCACCCTTACCTTGATTGGATTGAAGCTTTGGGTTGATCTTGATCTCTTCCAAGCTTTTCCTCTTCTCTTTCTTTCTCTTTTCTTTCCACAATGTTTCTATTCTTTTCTTTTCTTTTCCGCTTTCCTTATATATATCTCTTATTTTCTTTCCATTATATTTCCCTCTTCAATTATCTACCAATTAATTCCAAATCATTAAAATTAATTCCAATAAACCAATTAATTAACATAATTAATTAATTAATGAAATTTGGGTTGTTACAACCCTCCCCCACTTTAGGAATTTTCGTCCTCGAAAATGTTACCTGGTTCAAACAGCTCTGGATAAGACTCCCTCATCTGGCTCTCTAGTTCCCAAGTCACATTTCCACCAGTCGGTCCTCCCCAAGCGACCTTCACCAAAGAAATCTCTTTGCCTCGAAGTTGCTTCAACTTCCGATCCTCTATCCGCATAGGTGATGCCTCCACAGTTAGGTTATCTCTCACCTGCACATCGTCTACTTGGACTACATGAGACGGATCCGCAATGTATTTCCTCAACTGAGATACATGGAATACATCATGGAGATTAGCAAGCGACGACGGTAGAGCAACACGATAGGCCACTTTTCCTATTCTCTGCAAAATCTGATAAGGACCAATGAAACGTGGCGTCAACTTACGTGACTTCAATGCCCTACCAACACCAGTCATCGGAGTGACCCTAAGAAACACATGATCTCCCTCTTGAAATTCTAGTGCTTTCCTCCTCTTGTCATGATAACTTTTCTGGCGACTTTGAGAAATTCTCATCTTCTCTTGAATCATCTTAATCTTGTCCATAGTCTGCTGAACTATCTCGGGTCCAACTACAAGACTTTCTCCCGACTCATACCAACACAATGGCATCCTACACTGTCTACCATACAAAGCTTCGAACGGTGCCATACCAATACTTGAATGAAAACTGTTGTTGTAAGTAAACTCGATCAAAGGCAAGTAGCTATCCCAAGCTCCTCCTTTCTCCAACACACAAGCTCTCAAAAGATCCTCGAGCGATTGAATAGTCCTCTCGGTCTGACCATCTGTCTGAGGATGATAAGCTGAACTTAAACGCAACTTCGTACCCAAAGCACTTTGCAATCTCTCCCAAAATCTCGAAGTGAATCTCGGATCCTGATCCGACACAATACTAGACGGAATACCATGCAAACTGACAATACTCTCGATGTATAACCTGGCCAATCTCTCTAATGGATAATCCATTCGCATAGGAATAAAGTGAGCAGATTTAGTCAATCTATCCACGATAACCCAAATAACTTCAAAATTACCCGGCGTCCTCGGTAATCCAGACACAAAATCCATAGAAATGCTATCCCATTTCCACTCAGGAATAAACAACGATTGCATCAAACCCGACGGCTTCTGATGCTCAATCTTCGACTTCTGACAAGTCAAGCAAGAATACACAAATTCGGCAATATCCTTCTTCATATGAGGCCACCAAAATACTTTCCTCAAATCTTGATACATCTTAGTAGCACCCGGATGAATACTCAATCCGCTACGATGTCCTTCCCCAAGAATACTCTTCTTTAGATCCTCAATATCTGGAACACAAACTCTATCCCGAAACCTCATAATACCATTCTCGTCCATCCGAAAATCACCACCTTGACCTTGGTTGATC